GGCCGAAAAGCCGTCTTCTAGAAAAAGTGTATTCGTATATTTTCGTCGGCTCTGATTGCGGCAAATGAGGCCCATCGTTTAGAATAATTTATCCGTGTTTCACTCGTCGCTTGAACGCGTACCGCCTTGCAATTAATAAAAAGTGAATATTTCCCTCAAACAACACTTCTAGGTCGTCTCTGGTTGATTTTATACAACAAATCAATCTTTTTAAATCCTAAGGGTGCCAAATATAATTTTTCAAAAGTCAGTCTGATCGCAATTATCATATAATTATGTAGCTCAATCTTAAAATGTGGCTAATTTACCACTAATGAACAGATGTGAAGTAATGCATTTTCGGTCCGCCTAGGCCGTCTAACAAATCCGTAAAATATTCTTGTCCCGTGTATTATCTATCTGTCTGTCTTTATATATATATATATATATATACAGGGTGAATTGCTACTCGTGCTACAAACTTCTCCAGTAGATTCTTCACCCTAAAATGAACAAAAAAGTTCATATTGTCCATGGTCCGATTCTCAACCATTTCAGAGTAATTTCGCTTTTTATCGATTTTGAAAGATATCACGTCCTGGCGTCGGAAAATCGTGATATCTTTTAATCTAAACATTTCTCTGAAAATCTAATAGCACCGTTGAAATTCCCGTTAATTTTTCAATAAGAAGATGACGGTGGCAAAATGTTTGGGCTAATTTTTTGTGTTTTATTTCAGCCAGAACTACAAAAAGAGTGGAAAATTGTGTAAATCGGAAAGTGTATAAAGTAATCCAGAGTTTCTAATTTTAGTCTCAGAAGGCAGCAAATTTGAGGAAAACTACCTGATTTAATAACGCTTCCAACGCACTCGTCATTTTCTTATTTAGTGGTTGTGAGACCAAGATGTTGATGACAAAAAGAGAAAAAATGGTGGTTCAAGGATTGCTAATGTTTGAGAGTGACTTGCTACTCGTGCTACAAACTTCACCAGTAGATTCTTGACCCTAAAATGAACAAAAAAGTTCATATTGACCATGGTCCGATTCTCAACCATTTCAGAGTAATTTCGCTTTTTATCGATTTTGAAAGATATCACGTCCTGGCGTCGGAAAATCGTGATATCTTTTAATCTAAACATTTCTCTTAAAATCTATAAGCACCGTTGAAATCCCCGTTAATTTTTCAATAAGAAGATGAAGGTGGCAAAACGTTTGGGTCTTTCTTCCTTGACCTTCTAGCTGTTTGTAAACTTCTTAAGCATTACATACTAAATGGGCATTAAATTAAATTAAAAAATTTCAATGGAATTATGATTTTGATTCTCTCTAAAAATTAACGGGGATTTCAACGGTGCTTATAGATTTTAAGAGAAATGTTTAGATTAAAAGATATCACGATTTTCCGACGCCAGGACGTGATATCTTTCAAAATCGATAAAAAGCGAAATTACTCTGAAATGGTTGAGAATCGGACCATGGACAATATGAACTTTTTTGTTCATTTTAGGGTGAAGAATCTACTGGAGAAGTTTGTAACACGAGTAGCAATTCACCCTGTATATATAAAGACAGACAGATAGCTAATAATTGACAAATAGACAGGTAGCTAAATAAATTGACAGATAAATAGAAAGACATATTCAGGTAGATAGATTGACAGACAGATAACAAAATATAATGTGTGTGTGTGTGTGTGTGTGTGAGAGAGAGAGAGAGAGAGAGAGAGAGAGAGAGAGAGAGAGAGAGAGAATGATAGAGAAGAATGAAAGGTAAATACATAAATATAAAGAGAATGAGAAAAAGTGAGAAGGAAAAAAGAGCGATTTATTGATTGATTTAACGTATTATTTAACCATGCATAGTTAGGACTCGTGAACCTTTCTTCCACTTAACATGATTTATGTTATACATTATACATACAATTTATGCAGACGCTTTTGGTCTGTACCATTTATTTTACAAATAGAATACAAGAAAAAAAATAGGTAGAACTCCAAAAACTAAATAGATAGATTGTGTGTGTGTGTGTGTGTGTGTGTGTGTGTGTGTGCGCGCGCGTGCGTGTGCGTGTGCGCGTGCGCGTGCGTGTGCGTGTGTGTGTGTGTGTGTGTGTGAAGGTTGATAGAAAAATATCGAGTACACCATTACCCCAAATTGTATGTAGATGAGGAAAATGTATTTATTAGTGACTGAGAGATGGACTTGGTTTTGAGAACTGACTGCATTGGGGGCTAAAATGACCTCATTGATAGCCCCTGGATCCTAACCTGGTTCTCTAAGCCTGCCCGTAATTGATTGTAAATTACAAAAGCTGGAATTGCCAGCGGTTTGCGAGAACTGATAGGCTCAATTTTGAAATTTGAGATTGTATTAATCAATAATCAGTATTCATTAAGGAAATTATATTGATTATCGCAGTTAATTTTAAACATATCCCATAAACTCACAGAAAATTATTTTATTGTTGAGTGCATACTACTTGTCAGTTAACCGTCTTAGGATGGATCTTGCAATATGGATTATCATTGAAGTATATTTTGTGCATATTAAAAAAATCTAATATAAGTAAGGGTACAATAGAAACTCAAGTTGAACATAAAATACAAATTTATGACAAATTTAAAAAAAAATCAGTATCGTAAAAAAATCTGTGATGATTAGTGACCAGACCGCATCTCACGATTTCTAAATAAATATCGTAAAAAAAGTTCAGATTTTATGCTATTCTTAGTAAATAAATTGTGCAAATTTTTCCAGATAAAAAATGCAATATTTATCACATATATGCTAATTTAAAAAAAAACTATAATCCTGTAAGTAATATGACGTTTATTTTTGATTTGGTCCTCCGGGGCGGATTCACCGATCCAAAAAAGCCCATCGAAAAACCAAGATCGTTATTTGTTTCCGTTAGAGCAATAACAACAATTAAATTACATAACGCGCCTGACTGACAAAACCAACCATCACTTTCGCTAAACTTACTCATCCACCCATCTTCTTGATAACACATTTGTCCTTTCCACAGCTACATCCTCTTACAGTATATCTCAATAAAAGTCAGAGAGAGAGAGAGAGAGAGTGAGAGAGAGAGAGAGAGAGAGAGAGAAAGAGAGACATACCGATCTCTCTCTCTCTCTCTATCTCTCTCTCTCCCTCTCTCCCTCCCTCACTCTCTCTCTTACACACACACTATCTATCTATCGATCTATCTACCAATCTGTGTGTCTACCAAACGACCTACCTCCCTTTTTCTCCTTTTGTGCCTAGCTACCTGTCTACCTTTCTCTCTACTTTCTATCCATCAATCAATTTTTATACTTATCTATCTAAATGTCTATCTACTTATATATCTACCTATCTTTTGTCTCGGAACTTACTTTCATATCTACTTATACCAATGAACATACCCATTTCTTCCTTTGTTTCTAACAGTATGTCTAGCTACCTCTCCACCTTCTCACTCTCTCTCTCTCTCTCTCTCTCTCTCTCTCTCTCTCTCTCTCCTCTCCACTCTCTCTATCACTTTTTCCCTATCTCACTCTTCATCGACCTACATTTCTATATTATTATGGTATAATTAATTGATGATTTAACTCAATCTGGGGTCAATAATTAAATATCTAACTTGCTCAATTATCTACCCTCAAAAGTGATGCGGCCATTTTTGGGTCCGCCAAGACACGCCGTTTGGCGCCAAACGAGTCTCGGACACCGGCCAATTTATAATAGTGGATTATAATAATCCCACGTATTTTGTAAAGGATTAAATTGTTTGTCAAAAGACAAATACCAATTTATTAACATATCTTTATATGATGAACAACTCCAAATATGTCATGTCTACTTGTTCAAACGTGTGTACTTAAGTGTATTATTATAAAATATTTGTTGTTACTTTATGGTTTTATAAATATTGGATTCTTATCATTGCGAGACTTTTTATCAAATCTGATATGATCAGGACTCATCCCTTTTATGAGCCAGGCATTCCTTGCGTGTTTATTATGTTGTGTTATAGAAAAAAAAACAGCTGGCGATCGGCCAAAATGGTTATATAATTATAAATGAGGAAGCGACTCGTTTTGGCTAAATTTAGCTTTTCCTTCTCACGTAGGTACACGACATTCCAAGAATGGACGCCCATCTATCGCGACCAGACGGTAAATCTTTGCTTGAATAAACACGTAACGTAGTAGTTAATAAATTAACCCAAGCGAAACTATCCGGACCCAGGTGAGCCCTTCTTACAATATCGAAAACACTTCCGAGAATTATCAGTCAAATCCGGGAGGTAGTTATTTCCCCAAATTCCATTTAACTATCGGCGGCCGAGCAGTTCGGGTTTCTTGTATTTGCCTCGGTAGCCGTTCAGGGTTCAAATCCCGGCATAGCCCACTGCTTTTTTTTTAAAGTAATATCAAAAAATTATCGTAAAGTTTTTGACCCTTTGTCCGAGACACACGGGTACGTCGAAGCCATTCTGAATGATAGATTTCCTTAATTTACTAACCATCATCTACTGTTTTCCTTGCAAATATAAACAATAAAATAAAGACCCTGAGGTTTGTTGTTATTGTATATTTTAATAACTGAAAAATCGTTTTCCCCGGTCGTTATAATTTATTCGTTGAAATAACACCAGGGAAATTTTCTCAGGATGCGTTCCGTGAATCATTCTCGATCCAGCTCGCGTTTCCTCGAAGCAGAAAGGACCTCTTTTTCCTTTTTTCAAATCTCCCCTCCCGAACTGAAAGGAGACGTAGGAACGTTTTCAGGAAGATCTTTAGTGTAGGCGGCTTTTCCGGGTTCCTTCGGCGCATTCCTGAACGGTTATCAGGACCGGCTTTTTAACTTGCAAAGTGGATGTATTTCAGTCTGGCGAAAAATTGTAAACTTTGCAACTAGTTCATACACAGGGGTAATTTAAGCCCTAGAGAATTATTACACCTTAATTATATACATAATTATACTGTGTCGCAACGGAGGATTAATGTTTTTTTTTCTATTCTGTTCCAGGTACACTAAATGGGTCAAATCACTACAAAGCGGAAGGTAAAACCTTAAAAATTGTATGGTCCAGTTAATTTTATCATATCAATCTTTTTAATGAAAAATTTATAAATTTTATAGTTTTTTTGCATCGGCCAAATTTTATAGTTTTTACACTAATTTTACTGTTAACATTTATTCTTAATTAACGGAGCTTGTGTAATAACAGCGAGACTAAACGGCAGCACGGACCGAAACTGTTACTTCTTACATCACAATTTTTTATGAAGTTTTATAGAGTAAAATTCTGCATACTATGAGTAAAAGTTAATTATAAAAATTTTTAAGGTGCTAATCATAATTTTAAAAAAAGTTAATCTGCGGGCCTAGAGTAGGTAGAGGGGTTATCAATTGATTGTAACACCAGACTTACGATCTTAAAAATAAATTATTTCAAGAAAAACTTTCATAACATTTTTAGAATTTTCAGAATGCCTGAAAAACGTCTACTTTATTTGAGGGCATTAACTTTCTCCCTCTTCTCTCTCCCTAGCTCTCTCCCTCCCTCTACCACCTACGTATGTACAAACAATTTAGTGACAGAGATTAAAGTAAAATTAAAACACGGCTTCTCCGGGCCGGATGAATGAAATTACACTGGATACTTGGTTGTCAGTAAAAGAGGCAATTGACTGTTAAGTTTTGTAGGTACAGATCTGGTCAATGTAAAAAGTGATAATATACGGAGCATATAACGCTAGTATTATAGCCAATTTTTTTAAATTTACACAATGTTAAAAACAACTGACACTCTCTCTCTCTCTCTCTCTCTCTCTTTCTCTTTCTCTTTCTCTCTCTTCCTCTCTCTCTCTCTTCCTCTCTCTCTCTCTTCCTCTCTTTCTCTCTCTTTTACCACCTAATACCCGTAATACCCAATATACATGGGCAACAAGATAAATATCGTGAATTTCATAATAGTACATAAAACAAAATAGCAATGGACAAACGATATGGGTAACCAACCCATGGTTGAAGAGATTTTGACAAAACTAGCACACACATTGTTACAACCAAAGTAGGTAACTCACAAAAGACACAACAGGTGTACATTGTATAATGATCTCATCTCTAGACCATTCAATGAGGATGAAGAACCTACCATTCATATTATGTTCGAAAGCAAAACAGCAGCTTAAGGAGAACCAGAGTGGAAGAAGACACAGAGAAAAAATAATGGCAATAACACTCAATGTCCTTCTACTTCTTAACAGAAAGATCTCATCGATTCAACTGGACTAGGAAAAATACAATAAACCTCAAAACAGGAGAGCTTGGGATACCAACCAAACCTCCCTGGTATAATTCTCCTCGTCATCATCATCGGTCACATTCTAGCATTATTAAAATAGCATTTAAGCTAAGCATATGCTCTTAAAAAACATTGCTATATTTTAAATAATTGAAACATTATCTCTCTTTTTATTACCTACGTTTAGCAATTTCCAATTCAGTCACTGTTTCTATTGTTTGTCTGTTTTCGGGTCTCGATGTTTTTCAAATTTTTTCACAAACACAAATGCATCATTCATTCTCTCTGTACCTCTGTATCTCTCTCTCTCTCTCTCTCATTCATTCACTCACTCACTCTCTCTTTACCTCCCTTTCTTTTTTTGATTTCCCATCCCTTCATTACTTACTTTGTTTATGTATAAATGTTTCTAGTAATTTAAAATAGATTGAACCATTGGATTTCCAGGCCGGATGTGTGAAGGTAATTGACTTACTGTCATTCCGTCTTACTGATTTTCCCTATTCCTTTCTATCTGTTTTTATGTTTTCATATCTATATCTATGTATTTATCTTTTACGTTATTCACTCAACCCACTCTCATTTGTTCATCCTTCTCTATTTGTGTCTTCTTTTTTTCTTTTTCACTCTCACTATATCTCTCTTGGATTCCTTCCCTCTTACTCATCCTTTCTTTCTCACTGTCTTCCTTTCTCTCTCTGCATCTCCCTTATCCTTATTGTTTTCTTAACCAAGTAGGCGAGTTTGAAAGTGGGGAAAAAGGAAAGATTTTTAACTGAACATCCTTTTGTATGGTTTAATTGGATGATGTTTGATTTATATAGATCAGTGGGTTCGGGAAGTCTCGATTTGTACAACCTCACTAACAAAGAGATGTTTATGTTGAAAAAACAAAAAACAAACACCTCCAGCAATAATCAAACCGCTGTAATTTTAAGGCGTTTAATCCGTACGATGTGAAAATTGCCCAAAAAACATATTTTAATCCTTTTAACTGTGGCGTTTTATGAATTTAATTTACTCGGGCTGTATATGCTCAACATTTTCCCAACCACGTTCATAATTAACTGAGGAGATAACCAACCCCCACTGGTCCAAAAGTTAAAACGTTCGGGTCCGAAGCCAAATTAAAATGTATTGTATATATCCACACGGCAATTCGCCCATGGGAAATAATTAGAAAAATACCCGAACGGATCATTGACTCGACATAAATCATGGAAGCCACAGTTGGTACTGAGTACTCAGATGATTAGCAATTCTGAACGCAGTACTTCACGCTTTGAAGTGAATAAATGATTAAATAATCCAACTTGGAACTTCAAATATAATTAAATTCATTGAACTACTATACTACTACTATACTCTAGAAATAATTTTGAAGAGAGAAAAAGAGAGAGTGAGAGTGAGTGTGAGAAAGAGTTGAACAAAGTTTGATAGAATGTGACAAGACGGTCGAAAGATACAGCTGAGTGAGAATGGGTGAGAGAGAGAAAAAGAGAGAGTCAGCGATGGAAGAATGAACTAAGTTTGATAGGATGTCGATGATAGGTCGACAGGGATAGCTGGATAAAGAAAGTGGGTGAAAGAAAGGAAAAGAGAGAGAGAGTGAAGAATGAAAACATTTTGATAGAATATGACATGAAGGTCGAAAGTGATAACTGGATAGAGAGAGTGAGAGCCGCGGCTCTCGGAAAATCTCCCAAAGTCGTTAAAAAGGCGATAAGGCGAATCAGGGGCGTCGATGTGTAAAAGCGTTAAAACGGGAAAGGAGCTTTTATCGGCGGTTTGATAGTGTTATCTTCCCAGTTGGTACGTGACCTACACCAAATTCGTTAGGGCGAGCCTATGGTCGATTCGACGACGTTAATGAAAACAGCCGTTCTGTTTTTATTCGGGGTGTTTTTTTTATTTTTTCTCGCCCCACCGGATTTTTCCAAAATCGAGCCGATCGCTCGGAATAGTGAAAAGTGGGAGAGCAGGAAGAGGTTTGGCTAAATTTAGGCAAGTTGTGAGCTGTGCCTCGTGTGGCGGGCGGAGAAGGAAACGCCGATGGTTTTTTCTCTCTCTGAGGATTGCGCCCTTTTGCCAAAATGCCGTTCACCCGGAGTAAACAAGTCATTTTTTGCCCCTGTGAAATAAAATAACCACGCTCAATTTATTTTGAGTTTCGGTTTTTAAAACCGGTCGGCCCTTGAAATATTTTAACAACGATTACAACCACGTCGTTCATTTCAAAGTCACGAATGAGTGAACTTCGTTAAGAACAATTAATTAAGGTTTTCAGTTGAGATAAAAAAGTCAATGGCACGAGCGGGATTCGAACCCACGATCTTCGGCTTGATACGCCACTGCTCTACCACTTGAGCTATCGTGACCTCGATCCACTCGGACACCAACCTCCCATCTCAACCCCACCTTTTGAATTTTCCCTCCTTTTTGCCATTTTTCAAATATCGTGTAATCGGATTGGATTCTCGGCGACAAATGAAATGGCCACAGAGAGCTTTAGTGAAGGTATACTTCATTTTAAACTTATTCAATATTATTATACTCCATGGCCATTTCATTTGTCGCCGAGAATCAAATAGATTACACGACATTTGAAACATGGCAAAAAGGAGAGAAAATTCAAAAGGTGTGGTTGAGATGGGAAGTTGATGACCGAGTGGATTGAGGTCACGATAGCTCAAGTGGTAGAGCAGCGGCGTACCAAGCCGAAGATCGTGGGTTCGAATCCCGCTCGTGCCATTGACTTTTTTATCTCAACTAAAAACCTTAATTAATTGTAATATATTAATTGGTCAAGCGGACCACGAAACTAGTGAATTGAATTCGTTAAGAACTTTCACAACTCCCCAATTATATATAAAATTATATTAAATAAAAAATCTCATGTGTTTTCTGGTGAAAATGGTCGAATTTGAGCAAATTGGCTTTTTCTACAAACAATTGGCTGAATTGTAGTAATTTGCAAATTGAGGTTTCAAAACATGCAAATCATAGAGAAACATTGTGAGTTCTCAAATGCAGTTATCTCAAAAGGAAGTTAAAATATGTCGACCCTAAAACATTGTAGAAAAGGCCGACTTAATTTTCAGACATTTCATAGGCCGTGAGCCAGAATTAATTCAGAATAGGTCCTCCTAGGAACAAACAAATGAATAATTAATGAATTTGTGTGAATTAAGCAACGCGTGCTCATCCGTCAGAAGGGGAGAAAAGGTGTACACAAGTAGCAACGATAATGATCGATGTGTACCCTTTTTCAATCAATCCTTCCCGAACGGGTTGCGAAAAGTGCCAAAATGGATCTGATTTCCGTTTCGCAATGTTAGGACGGCACATCACCGCCCGGGATTGGAAATTGGGACGTTGTTTGCTCAGTAAACACGCTGTTTGGGTGGTGTCCATCGGGTGCAAGTTAATTATGAGTTTGCATAAGTGAACGCAAGGCGAACCCGCTCTCGGAGCATTTGACCCAAATCTGCACTCGCCGGTTGGGATTTGTCGGCACGAGCCAAGAAGAAATAACAGCCTTTTTTCCTCGAAACCTTTTAATAATTAATTGCTGTTGATAATCTTTAAATCAAAATATGAACAGACTGTTTCCTTTAATTATTTTATTTCAATACATCCGGCCCGGAGGACCAATTTTTAATGTTAAGACTTTGAACAGTTTTGTATACATATGTAGGTGAGGGAAAGATGGAGAGAAAAAGAGAGAGAGAGAATATGCCTAATCTTTTCATAA